AGAGGATCTCACCCGGGGTGGGGCCCAGCACTTGTGGCCACGCAGCCGGCAGCGGCGGGCAGATTTCCTTGAGGAAGCCGGGCTCTGCCCCGCACCAGCTCGCTCACGGTGTGTTTGCCCTGGCACCCAGCACCCCAGCTGCGTTTACGGTCGCCCAGGTGCCAGGGCTTTCAAAACAAGGGTGGCCGTGTTTTGGGTACAAAGCAGTGCGCACCTGCTCAGGCCCCACCACAGCTGGTGGGCCCGCCCTCCCCTGCCCTGCTAATGGCCTGCAGTGTTTGCTGCGTAGCTGGGCCATCAGAGCCGCCTCTGTGCCTGGGGTCAGGTGCCCTTTGCTTCAAGTTAACTTCCAGTCTCCCCCTCCTCCCTCCCACTCATCTCCATGACAAGTCCTTATTTCAAGATTTGTTTCTGGCCATTTTTTTGCAGGGAGTTGGAGTAGGGAACATGCAACATACAATACACACAGCAGGGGAAAACTTCACTTAGCATGCTCGTCTCAGAACGGAATGTAGCTTCTGAGGCATTAAAACCTAGGATCCTGTCCCCACTTGCAGGGTTTCTGATTTAGTGGGTCAGAGACAGGCCCAAGGATTCATCGTCACCATCACCATCATCACCATCACCACCATCACCACCATCATCATCATCACCATCATCATCACCTAAGAGTCAGTCCCATAGCTGATCACACCTGAGTAAACCCCCTGAGAGGCACTGCCACCTTCCTGACTCCCTGGGTGTCAGGCGAGTGAAGCCTGTTGTGGCTGCCCTTGCAGAGTCCAGCCCAGCACCGGGCTCCAGGTGGCACTCAGTACACACACTGGAGGTGGAGGTGAGGGAGGCGAACCTTTTCATGGAGAACCCTTCACGGGGCCAGGGACAGACCCCGCAGTCATGTTTGCAGTCTCAACAGCTGAATTTCTCGTAGAGTCATGTCTCTGTTGAGGATTTTAATGGCGAAACAAGAGAAGCCTGACAAGAACTGAACAGGGTGATTATTTTGGAAGGAGCCTGAGCCTCACCTCCTCCCGGCCATTGCTTTGATGAAGATGTAGGAGGTCACCCCAGTTATTAGTGCTTCTGAGCCTTGGCTGCTCTTTGGAACCACCCGGGAGATGAACAAGGGCTGATGCCTGGGTACCACCTCCCCTCCCCCCAGGCCCTGCTTGCTTGTTCTGGGGTGTGGCCTGGGCACCAGGACTTTTTAAGTTTTCTAGGTGATTCTGATGTGCGGCCAGGACTGCAAACTGCTGACCTATAGTGTGTGGGACGGATGGAGAGGGGCTGGGAGGTTCATTTCTTGAGTTTACAGGGTGTCCTCATGGACTAGAGACGGAAGTCCCTGGATTCTGAGATCCAAGACACATTTTAATAAACAAACATATATAGTGTCCAAAATTATCTATATATGAAAGCATAAATGACCGAACAACCAGTTGACCGGTCGCTATGATGTGCACTGACCACCAAGGGACAGGTGTTCAATGCACAGGATTGGGCTCCTTCCTGTCTGGATCGGGCCTGTGGGGATTGGGCCAAAACCGGCTCTCTGACATCCCCCGAGGGGTCCCGGCTTGCGAGGGCATAGGTCAGGCCGAGGGACTCCACCGGTGCATGAATCCGTGCACTGGGCTGCTAGTATGAAAATAATAGTCAATTGCTTTCTGTTCCTTTAATGAAAACATTTTTCTGATTATTAACATGGTACATGCTTGTCATAAATGATTGAGTTTATGTAGAAAAGTACAAAAGAGGCTAAAAATCTCCCCAAATGCCGGCGCCCAGAAGATACAGCTGTCACTGTACCTGGTGCACACCTTTCCACTCACTGCTCTGTGCCCGTGTGCACATGTGACCTAGACATGTAATTCCACATCAACAAGACCAGGGTCTGAGTGCTCGCCCAACCGTGTGACAGCGGTACTTCCCTTCAATCTGCATGACCGTGTCCATGCGCTCCTGCCCGGCTCTAGCTCTCAGTCTGGTCAGGGGGACGTCCGCCTCCCTGTGAAGCTCGCTGTGCGTTTTTCAAGTAGAAGACAAGCAGCCCTGTGGGGGGCAGGCCCTCCGTGGTCCGGAAGCTGGCGAGGACACACAGTGTGCGGGGCAGGTCTGGGCAGTCTGTGGCCGGGGTCGGAAGGGCTTAGGGCGCCCGGCCACGCCCCTTTGTGTAGGGCTGGTCTCTGCTGAGTTTTCGTTTCATTCTTTTGTGTTCATTCTGCGAGAGGTCCTGCTTTTCACTCGCCTTCCAGACCAGGCCAAGGGCACAGAAAGCCCAGCGCAGTCAGCAAAGAACTGCCCCCTGAACACGCAGGAGGCGGAACCACCCATAAGGGGGTGTCCCGATGCTGCCTGTGGGCGGGACCGTTCTCCAGGTGTAGAGAGAAGCCGACTCTCTGCATTTGTATTTGAAATCTCTTGGCTTTTTCAATGTAGACAACTGATAGTTTAAAATGAAAAAACCGAGACCAAACAAAACATACGCACGTGGGCGTCTTACCGGCCCCTGGAGGCCAGCCTGAGGCCTGGATCTGCCGAGTGTCTGTGGCCGATGGTATTGACGCAGTCTCCCTCATTCGGGTCTCAGAATATTGACTGAAGGCATTATCCTGCGGGCCACCTACTGTTCAGAAGGCTGAGATACAAAGATGAAAAGCTATGGTCCTTGGTCCTTGCCTTTCGGGGAGGAGGGGCGAGAGGTGCTGTTCTCAAACAGGGTGCCCAGGCCAGCGTCCTCAGTAGGGAACTTGGCAGAAGTGCAAGTTCTCGGGCCTCACCCGACCCACCGGATCAGAATCTGCATTTAAGCGAACCCTGCGACCTGTTTTCACCACCTCCCTGGTGGTTCCCTGGTGGTTGAGAACCGTGGTGTGGAAGGGAGTCAGACACCGGGGCACGGGTCTGTGAGGTGGGGAGGGGCGGTGGGAGTTGGGGGAGCCTTTGGGAAATCAATGGCCCACCTGGGTCTTCAGGGATGATAGGAGTTGGCCAGGCAGGAGGGCACCCTGGGGAGGGGCGTTCTGGGGAGGGGCAGCGGGAGCGCTAGCAGGGACATGTGACAAGGCTGCTCTGGGGAACAGCGAGCTGAGAAGAGGTGGGGCCAGGTAGCTGGGTTGAATCTTGTGGGGGTTGGACATCACTTGACTGGGGCCTGTGGCGCTGGGCCTGGTGTAGGAAAGTAAAGCTGGTGGCAGGGCTCACCTGCCTCCTGGGCGGGGACAGCGCTCCAGGCCCTCCCTGGCCTAGATCTCAGGTCCAGCCTCTCCTGGCGTGACTCGGATCTGGGTCAGCAAGTGCCATCCTCGGAGGGGGCAGTGGGGAGAGGCGCGCAGCAGCCGTTGCCACGTTCGGGACAGTGACAGAGGCGTCACCGCACCTCTTTCCTCCCCAGGGACAGCGTCTCTCCGAGGTGGACGCTGCAGGGGGTGCCCGTGTTCTGCGGTGGCCTGTGCAGTCCTGCTAAACAAGTAGCCCGTCTATTTCTGCGGCAAATATTTTTTGGGAAAAAAATCTTTTGCTTCTTTCCTCCTTTAGACTTGGGGCTCCGGACCAGGGAAACACATATCTGTACCTACCTGGGCTGGTTCCTCCCATCTCCCTCTTTCTCACTGTCCATCTGTCTGTCTGTCTGTCTTTCCCTCTGTGTTGGGAATGGCTGGGCTGCGAGATCATGGGAGCGGGATGCAGCGTCACCGCCCCCTGCTGGTCATTGTGTGTAACGCCTGGCTTTTAAGGTACGGAGGGAGGGGGGACCGGGCAGTGCAAATAACAGAAGCACAGACCTAGACCGAGATCGGATCCCTTAATTTTAAAAGACCGGGCACATGTAGTCAACGTAAAGATGTCTACCTCTGTGAGAGGGTGGAAGGAGTTTATAGACTCCTTCCATCTTTGCCAAATGCTGGGATGTGTTTATGAAGGAGTCACTTCTTCCTTCCGCCGCCGCGACCTCACGCAGTAGCGGTTACATTACCAGCCTTCTTCCTTCCACACCTGTGTTTTCCAGCCGATTGCTTCGGGCGTTCACTCAGGTCGGGCACACGTGTCTAGGCCTGTGCTGACTATGTAACCGGGGTATCACCTTGATGGCATCAAAAGTGATATTTAAGGTGCAGACACTGGTGTTTCCACTGGATAACTGACCTCCTTGTTAGTCACACAGATGTGTTTATAAATACAGGGGACGGTGATGACGACGCAGTAGACGGGATTAGTTACGGAGAGGCCCGTCCGAGGGGGGTGGGTTTCCTCCAGCAGTTCCCGGGAAGCTTCCTGGGCCGCCCGTTTTGAAGCCCCTGTTTGTTAGTGTCTAAATCTAAAGGTCCTTCGAATAAAAACCAACCCTGCTTCTCCTGACATCCCCGCCTTGGCTTCGCCGCTGCTCCGAGGAAGCCAGGCTCAGGGCGAGTGGCTGGGGTGCAATTGTGTGTTGAGGGTCAGGACAGCCTGCTGGGAGGGCGCTCGAGGCAGAAGGACCGACGGGCGCTGGCTGGGAGGCCGGGGCTGCCTGGCTCTTGCTAAGTGGACACGGGCCAGCTTGGTCCCCGGCTCCGTGAGCTCCGTGTCCTCTGGGTCCTCCCCAGCTCCCTTCAGATGCTCTAGTCCAGCGGTTCTCAACCTGTGGGTCGCGACCCCTTTGGCGGTGGAACGACCCTTTCACAGGGGTCACCTAAGACCATCCTGCATATCAGATATTTACATGACGATTCATAACAGCAGCAACATTACAGTTATGACGTAGCAACGAAAATAATTTTATGGTTGGGTCACAACATGAGGAACTGTATTTAAAGGGCCAGAAGGTTGAGAACCACTGCTCTAGTCAAATTCATGCGGACATTCGACCTCCCTTAGACGGGGAGCAGCGTTGGGGACATAGGAGCCGAAATGACATTGCTTGTGTTCTCTTACCAAGACTCGCAGACACATTCCGGCTGGCGTGTTGTGTTCACACATGTGCCTGCTCTTAATGCAGCCTCTGTTGTCTTTGTTCCCAGTTGCCAACGAAGCTGGAGACAAGGCTGCCGGGCCGCTCAACCGCTTCTCCCGCTTCTCCCGTGAGTAAACCTCCCCTGCATTCCTTGGCTCCTTCCAGGCCTTAAGAGAATAAAATGTGTATCTTGATTTCAGAGAGGGAGGGAAAGGGAGAGAGGTAGGAATATCAATGGTGAGAGAGAATCATGGGTCAGCTGCCTCCTGCACACCCCCTACTGGGGATCGAGCCTGCAACCCGGGCATGTGCCCTGACCAGGAATCGGACCGTGACCTCCTGGTTCAGAGGTTGACGCTCACCCACTGAGCCCCCCGGCCGGGCTGGATGGGCTTTCATTTCCAGCACCACCACTACCAGCTGTTTCACTTAAAATAATTCCACCTACACTCCTTGGGCCTCGGTTTTCCCGCCTGACAAATGGGAAGTTCACACCCAGCTTCCCCTCTTTAGAAAAAGATGCTGTTGTTTGAGGTCCTGGCATGAGAGCCACACTGATCCCTGCATTGTTCCCATCGGGTCAGCCACGTCCTGAGTGCGGACCCTCGTGGGACCCCGTGCATGGGGTTGAAAGGATAATTTCTCCGTGTATAGGGCTTCTGAACGCCGCCTTTTGGGAGGCGTCAGCACTTTGGGGTCGAGTCCTAGGAATGATTTTTATGGAACTGTAATGGCATATGATAATGGAAGCCTGAGCGCTCACATGTTGGAAACGGTGTCACAAAACACTCGCTTCTCACCGCCCCCCTCTGCCCTCCTACCTGGAGTCATCATTTCCTCAGGGGGCGTGGCAGGTGGGCTGCAGTCCCGGTGGGCCTGCCTCTCTTGAGGAGTGAGCTGGGGGTTACACGTGGAGAAGGAAACTTCTAATCTTAGCAAACACTCAAGGACGACCCCTGTTCATCACGCCGAGTGAAGAAGTCAGGCAGAAAAAGGCAGAAACCGTGTGAGCTCACTGAAATGTGGGATCTTAAAAACAAAGCAAAAGTCATGGGGTATAAAGTAAGTACTTCCTGGTTTCTGTAGTTAACTACACTGTGTTACATATCCCCAAGTGGCTAAGAGAAGTAGATCTTCAACGTTCTCACCACAAGAAAAAATTGTAACTGTTAATTGGACTGACTGTGATCTTATGGTGAATTATTTTGAAATGTATACAAATACCAAATCATTATGTCATACACCTAAACCAATAGAATGTTACATGTCAATTGTATGTCAAAAACAAACAAACACCCCCCCTACCCCAACCAAACCAGTATAACTTTTCAAGGAACAGAGGCCACTTGTAGTGCTCAGCCATGGCCACACGGTGGCAGCAAAGCCCAGCATTTGATGTGTAACTACTCCAGGAACCTCACTCAGGCCAATGGACTGAGCTTTTGCCAGGAGAGCCCAGAGCCCTGGGAGAGACCCGGGTGGGGGTGGGGCATTGGACCCGAAGCTTGTGAGCAGGGCAGGTCCATTCTGGAGTTTTGATTGCTTCCCTACCTGAGAGGAGAATAATTTCTCTCCTGAGATGAGTGTGTTTGAGAAGAAAATAATGGTGCCAAAAGCAGTGAGAAAATGGAGGCAGTTTTGGCCCTTTTACTTTGGGAGGTAAAACTCCAGGTGGTGTTGAAAACGGATGGCCCTGCTGCGGAGCTGTAGAGGAGTAACTTGGGGGGATGCGTGACAAGGCAAAGGGGGGTCAACTGGTATTTCTGTTTTGTTATTTTTAATCCTCGCCTGAGGATATTTTCCCATTGATTTTTAGGGAGAGTGGAAGAGAGAGGGAGAGACAGGGAGAAATGTCGATGTGAGAGAAACACATTGATTGGCTGCCTCGTGCAGGAGCCCTGACCCGGGCCTGGGCGTGGGAGGAACCTGCAACCGAGGTACGTGCCCTTGACTGGAATCGAACCTGGGACCGTTCATTCTGTAGGGCAGCGCTCTATCCACTGAGCCAAACTGGCTAGGGCTCCCCGGTATTTTTGCACTGGGTGTCTGAGGGGGTGAACGAGCGCCTTCCCTGGCAGAGTGGACGGGGGCGGAGAGAGATGGGCAGTGAGGTGAACCCTCGGGTTGGGAGGGGTGAACCAGCACCTATTGCGTGGTGACGCCCCGGGCAATGCAAGATGGTGTGACAGTGCATGAGGCCAGCCGGAGGCCTCCCCCGGGTGGCCGGTCACAGCCGGGAGGCCCTGCTGCAGGGCCGTTGTACCTACACCCAGAGAAGACAGAACTAATGTTAACTGTCCTTAAAGAACGGTCCGTTATTGTTTTCCTTTTATTGGAGGGGCTTGGGGGTGGGGATGGTGATCTTGGGAAGATGGTCCGAAGGCCTCCCTACCCCACTCTTGGAACTGGCGCTGTTCTGCGTCACTTCTTGAATCGAATCCTTTCTCCTCCTAAGGCATCTCCTACCTGGTCCTGGCCTTTCTCCCTCCACAGCAGGTTTTACTATAAAGCTCCTTGGCCAGCCCACTAGCTTCTTGCCACACCTCCAACCCCTCCCCCCAAACACGCACCGTCATCTTCAAACCGCAGTTTTTGTTATGACACATGTTTGTGCTTCAGAAACACATAACTCCCCAGCCTATGGCCACCCAGGCTGTGTCCGCCTGACCACCGGGGCTCTGCGGCTTTCTCCTACGCCTTCCTCCATCCCTTTCATCAGCACAGTCGTTGTCAGCCATGCAGCTATATCAACCCATCAAGTTAGACTCGGACTGACTAGGTGATTTAGTCCAAAGCTCGCCACCTCGTGAAAACGCGAGTCCTCTCTATGGAATCCCTGTCAGGGGTCATGAGCTCGGGGCAGGGACCCATCCAGGGCCAAAAACTCACCTTGGCCCGGAAAAGTGTTGGTAGTAGTGGTCATAGGGAAGGACTGGAGTTTGTGTGTGTGAGTGTGTGTGTGTGTAAGTGTGTGTGTGTGTGTTTAGGGACTGAGTCACACTTTTCTTTTTAAAAATTAAAAAAAATGTATTTTTATTGATTTCAGAGAGGAAGGGAGAGGGCGAGAGAGAGAAATATCAATGATGCCTCCTGCATGCCGCCTACTGGGGATCAAGCTCCAGTCTGGGTACGTGCCCTGACCAGGAGCTGTGACCTCCTGATTCATAGGTAGATGTTCAACCACTGAGCCACACCAGCCGGTCCACTTTATTTTTCTCCTTTTTTAATTTATATGATCGAGTTTGAGTGTGTCTGCTATGTTACTTGGTCCCCAGTATGTTAGCCACTGGTTCACCAGTGGACTGTCTGATGATACTCTTAGTAGCGTCTATGGCTTGTGGACGATATGTAACCCAGATATCAGCTGGAGGCTCCTGGCCCACTGGGATCTGGGAAATAGGCTCACATCGCTTTCGTGAGCTTTTGGAAGGTTAGAGCAGTCCGCAATGCTCTGTGAACGCCTGGGATGACCCAGTGTTCTTCCTGCCCTGACTTCCTACCTCCGCCCGCTGTTCCCTCCGTGTGCCTCTGCCTGACTTCACATCTGCTCTGACACAGGCTCAGATGTGGGACACAGCCCCTTCTTTTTCTCCTCTTCTGGGCTAAACAAAGGCTGTTGGTCAAAGCAGAACTTGACTGAAGATTAGGGGTCCACCCTAAGAGAGGTCCCAGTATGCGATTGCATGCAGACCATTTACATTCATGGTTCTAATAGATGCAGAGCCATAGAAGCATGGAACAGACTGTTGAGTGTCAGAGGGAAGGCAGGGGTGGGTGGGAGGAGATCAACCAAAGAACTTGTATGCATAACCCATGGACACAGACAATAGGGTGGTGAAAGCCTGGGGCAGGAGATGGGCTAGAACGGGTCAGTGAGGGGGAAAAAGGGGGATATAAGTAATATTTTCAACAATAAAGATAAAAGAAGAGAAAAAATTCATTGTTCTGTTCTCAACAGCCCTTCATCCATCCCAATACCAGCACGTTTTTTAAAGACCACTTTGCCCACTCCTGGCCTGCCACCCCTCGATCCTCCTCTACTCCACTCCTCCATTCTTTGCCCTTTCTTGCCATTTCCCTCTTAGGAATAACAAGACACTCTTCCCAGTCTAGGCAAGTAGCTGAAGGTGTCGCCATGGTTCCTGCCATGTGTGCTGTGGGCCTTGGGGTGACACATATAGTTTTGTAGGCCGTCATAGGTGCCCCTCTAGGGGACAGCGTCTTGCAGATTAAGCTAAGAGCACCCCCTCCCCCCCCTGACCCGGAAGTTGTGAGCCCCATGTTCGCAGCTGCAGTTCTCGGAACCTATGGAAGAATCGCCTCGTTTCCAGGTTCCCTCATTATTAGGGCCCAATCACAAGGGAAGTCAAGATGTGAAGCAATTTGGGCGAGAAGCTGAAGAAAACCCATGCAGGACACAGCTGAAGCACATGGAAGGAAGAAAGGACTGATACAAAATTTATTCCGGTGTCTGATGTGGTTTCTACAGCCTCAGAAATGGGCATCTTACCCTGAAGGGCACGTTGGGCACCGGAGTATACACCGAGTCAGTCCCAGCTCTTTCCCTGGAGGAGCCTACCACCCACAGCGGGCCCGTTGTCTTGATGTTGTCACCAGCCATGGTTAGTACGGGCCACTTCAGAAAGAGTTCTTCTCCGTGATGCATATATGACCCCAAGCCTCTCTTTTTCTGGAACTCTTGATTAAAACTCCAAACCTCCAAGCAGTTGCTTTCAGGCACTTTTGTTTTTGCTCACAGCACGTGCACCATTACGGCATGTCTAGGATGCACGGGGCGCCTTCTTCCCCGCGCTCAGAGCTCTCCATGCACCTCTATCCCGGATCCCTTCCCAGCGAGGCTTTAGAATGAGGTGGAAACTCAGCGCTGGAACTTTTCAAAGGATACCAGGCCGATTTGCAAACGAATCGTGTGGCAGATGGTGGGACTTGGAGTTTTGCATACTTTGCAGATATTAGCATCGAAAAACTTCCACTTATGTATAGGGCGGTCTGAATTAGTGAAAGTCTAAATTATGGAAAACTTAAAAGAAATGCTATCTTCGAACTCTCCAGTACCTAAGTCACACCGGCCACTGACAGTGTTTGTCAGGCAGAGTTCACTCGCAC